TTTATTGATGGGGTTGTTTGATTTTTTTCTTGTTGATTATTTTGAGTTCTAGATAGATTCTCGTTATCAGCCCCTTATCGGATGTGTAGAGAGCAAATATTTTCTCCCTTTCTGTAGGCTATTCGCTCTAATGATAGTTTCCTTGGCTGTGCAAAAGCTTTTTAATTTGATCAGGTCTCATTTATTTTTGTTGCTGCTGTGATTGCTTTGGGGGTTGTCTTCATAAATTCTTTGCCTAGGCCGGTGTCTGAAAGAGTCTTCCCTACATTTTCATTGAGGATTCTTAAGGTTTCATGCCTTAAGTTTAGGTCTGTTATCCATTTTGAATTGATTTTTGTAAGAGGTGAGAGGTGGGGATCCAGTTTCCATCTTCTGCATGTAGCTATCCATTTATTGAAAAGCGATTCTTTTCCCCAGTGTCTATTTTTGTCTGGTTTGTCAAAGATTAAGTGACAATATGTGGATGGTTTCATCTCTGAATTCTCAGTCCTGTTCCAAAGATCTATATCTCTGTTCTTGTGTCAGTACCGTGCTGTTTTAGTTACAATAGCCTTGTACCACAGCTTGAAGTCTGGTAGACTAATATCTCCCAGTTTGTTCTTTTTACCTAAGATTGCTTTGGCTATACAAGGTCTTCTCTGGTTCCATACAAAGCGTAGAATTATTTTTTTCTAGATCTGTAAAGAATGACGATGGTACTTTGATAGGGATTGCATTAATTCTGTAGATCACTTTAGGTAGTATGGACATTTTAACAATGTTGATTCTACCAATCCATGAGCAAGGTAGATTTTTCCATCTGTTTACATCTTCTACAATTTCTTCTCTTAGTGTTTGGTAGTTCTCCCTGTATATGTCTCTCACCTCTTTCGTTAAATATATTCCTAGATATTTACCTCTCGATGGGAAGATAATAATATGTGTAGTAACCCTACATCTGCAGTAGTATCTGTGTGCCATTCTAGTTATCACACATTAAGTAAGAGAACCTAAAGCTAGAAAAGGTCCAGAGGAAGCACTAAAAATGGACCAAGATACTGGCAGGGCTGCTAAGTAAGACACGTCTGGTGAAACCGTTTCCATAAGGCGCCAAAACGTGAAAACCAGAACAGGCGAATGATGAACCCCAGTTTGTTCACCAAGCTCTAACAGAATGCCAGTGAGACATCCTGGAGGACTGGAGAAAGATGAGTTTAAGACAAATGAAAGAGGCAGTCCTCCTTCTGATAGTGGGCAATAACATTATAAAACACATTATATTTTCTTTAAGTTTAAATAAATTGATGAATGAAAGACCAATAATGAATTAAGAGGACTTTTTTTTTTTTT